GCCGAGTTCCCTCTGGAGCCCATGCTGTGTAAGATGTTGATCATGTCCGTCCATTTGGGCTGCAGTGAAGAGATGCTGACGATTGTGTCGATGTTGTCTGTTCAGAATGTTTTCTACAGGCCGAAGGTACGTCATCACAACACCAGATACTCTTCAGAGCCTGGAGTTTTGTTTTCTTTTTGTGTCGTCTTTTAAATTCTCAAGGTTTTTATTCTGAGTTGACTGCAGAGTTCCTGCAGATCCTTAAAAAATCTTTAAAATCATTGAATTCATCGATCCGAAATTAAGGCCTTAATTAGCCTTAAAATGTCTTAAATTAATCTTTCTGAAGTCTTAAAAATGTGAACACATTGTAAATAGGATGACTGTAATTCGCCTCAAATATTAAAAATAACATTTATTTATTTTTTAAAACATTCACATTCCTCTTTGACATCACTTCCTGTTACTTCACGTGTAAATATCTCAATAACTGTTCATCTGAGCATCATGAAATTTGTTTCATTATATGTTAATAATGTTGTCTTTCCAAAAATGTGTTCACATTTCTTACAAAAAATTTGATGTCACAGGCACTTTAAGGTTTCATCTACAGCAAATGGGGGTTGAGACCCCACTGTGGGTCCTAAAACTCCAAATTTTGGGTCATTAGAGAATTTCCAGGAACTAAATCAAGTTTAAAACTGACTGCTAAGAATGTTTATGCTATATTGACAAAAAGCACTTAGATATGTTAAAAACAGTTGGTTTATTATCTTTGAATACTTCAACCAAAAATACTTTGATTCATGAGTTTCTGTCAGTTTTTATTTATTTTATTTGTCCTTTGTGTTTATTGTGAAATTGGTCTTAAATTWAATTTAATTTGGCTTTAAAAAGTCTTAAATTTAACTTGCTGTAAACTGTAGGAACCCTGGACTGACGAGGTGTAAACTGCCTCTGGTTTTCTTTGTGAGAAAAATTTTATCTGTTGGGCGTTTCAGGACAAGCAGGCCCTGGCCGACCAGAAGAAGGCCAAGTTCCACCAGCCCGAGGGCGACCACCTCACCCTGCTGGCCGTCTACAACTCGTGGAAGAACAACAAGTTCTCCAACCCCTGGTGTTACGAGAACTTCATCCAGGCTCGCTCCCTGCGCCGAGCTCAGGATATCCGTAAACAGATGCTGGGCATCATGGACCGGTAGAACTCAGTCGCGTTTTCAAATCAAAGAACGCTCGACGGTGGGACAATTATAACTTGAAATGACACAAAAAATGTTTTTTTGTTTCTTCCACAGACATAAACTGGATGTGGTATCTTGTGGCAAGGCGACAGTGCGAGTCCAAAAGGCCATCTGCAGTGGGTTCTTCAGAAACGCAGCCAAGAAGGACCCTCAGGAGGGCTACAGAACCCTCATCGATCAGCAAGTGGTTTACATCCACCCATCCAGTGCTCTGTTCAACCGGCAGCCTGAATGGTACGAGCAAATCTCTGTTCAACATTTACAACAAACCTTAACAGTTTTTGTTCCACTGGTGGGTAAAAGTGGTTCAGCTTCTGCCTTTAAACCTTTCCAGACACTACTGGTGGCTTAAAAACWAAAAACTAAAAAACAGGGTGTCAGACAACTTCCTCTGGTTCTTACCTTTAGCTTRACACCCTTTCAAAAACAAAAGTCAAAAGGCTTTTAGGGAATTTCAGGGGCGACTACTAGAATTACCCTCAACCCTCGAAGTAAAYGTTAACACAAAACTTAAAGGCCTAGCATCACTTCAAGTAAAAATATCACATGTGGTGCGTGAACCTTGTGTTGGAATGATGCTCAGCTACTACCACGGCACATTTTTCTTCAATATCTGTAAAATTGTCTGAATTTTAGTTTTTGTAAAGTTAGTTGGCTGTGGTGGCCATTTTTAGTCCTGTTTACTGTAAAACTTCAGGTAACGCTTTCTTTTACGGTACCCTTATTTCCATGTGATTACAAGGTAATAAAAGTTAATTAAATTTTACTATGTAATTGTAATATTGTCTACAGTAATGTAGCACTTACCTGGTAATGTATTACAATTCACTATGTAACACCTAAATAAGTAGTAGGTAATTTGGACAGTTTTAAAGTTTTATTTTATTGCAATTAACCACTAACCCCAAAATTTAGTTGCATTCTTTTGGTTATAAATATAGTGTTGAGTTACTATTGAATAGTAATTTGATTGTAGTTAGCCAGTAAAGGTAGTTTTACTAACAGTTTTTCTTTTGTACAGTAATTACCACGTAATTACATGGTAATAATGTAGTAATTACATTTTTATATTACCTTGTAATCACATGAAAATAAGGTAATTACATTTTTCATATTACCTTGTAATTACATGGTAATAAGGTAGTAATAACATTTTTATATTACCTTGTAATTACATAAGGTAGTAATTACATTTTTAATATTACCTTGTAATTACATGGTAATAAGGTAGTAATAACATTTTATATTACCTTGTAATTACATTAATAAGGTAGTAATTTCATTTTTTAATATTACCTTGTAATTACATGGTAATAAGGTAGTAATTACATTTTTTGTATTACCTTGTAATTACATGGTAATAAGGTAGTAATTACATTTTTGTATTGCCTTGTAATTACATGGTAATAAGGGTACCATAAAAGGAAGCGTTACCAGACTTAAGTTTTAATTGTACATTTGATGGTTACACTCTGAGAAATTCTTTCATTGGTTCATGTTGGTTAAACACGGYGCTGCAGACACCATCAGCTGAAGAAAGAAGACATTGTTTAAAAAAATAAACATTATTAATGGAGAGTTTTGCTCTGTCCGTACTCCAGCTGTTATTATTTGGCACATGGATACTTGATACGTACCTTAACATCTCACTCAGTGACGTACCGTATTTATTCAAGTATAATACGTAAAATTAAATCCATAAAATCATCCATAAAGTTGGGGGTAGTACTATACTCGGATAAATATTTTTACTTATGTATTTTAACCGAAATATCAGCTTCATTCACAAAATGCCTGAGTTTGGAAAAGAGACCGCGTCATAAAAAGCAGTTGAAGCAAGCTTACCTCTGACACTCCTCCGTGC